TGAGCCTGGAAAGTTTTTGCTACAAGGTTCAGGATTCTAATACATCTATAATTAGGTTCCAGACCTCTCTGAAGCAACCTTTTCTGAATTTTAGTTACAATACTTAATATATATTCTTCTAGGGAGAAATATTGTTCCTATACCAACAAACAAAAATCATATGGCTATGTTTTGATTTGGACAAATCAATTAACATTCTCTGTCTTCAAAAAGGAGATATCCCTGGATATTCTAATTTCTTACTGTACAATTGCACACATTTCACACACTAGCAGGGTTATGCTCAAAATCCTACAAGGTAGGCTTCAGCAGTATGTGGACCCAGAACTCCCAGAAGTACAAGCTGGATTTTGAAGGGGCAGAGGAACTAGAGACCAAATTGTTAACATGCGCTGGATTATGGAGAAAGCCAGATAATTCCAGAAAAACATCTACTTCTGCTTCATTGACTATGGAAAAATCTTTGATTGTGTGGACCACAACAAACTATATCAAGTTCTTAAAGAAATGGGAGTGCCTGACCACCTTATCCATCTCCTGAGAAATCTATACAGTGGTGCCTCGCTTAATGGGCGCTCCGTTTAGCGACGAAATCGCTTAGCGATGACTTTTTTGGAGCGTTTTTGCGCTTCGTTTAGCGATGGTCCCAATGGGCGATTTTCGCTTAGCGATGGTTGGGACCATGCTTCGCACAGTGATTAAATTTTGGGTCCCCTGTTTCGCTTAACGATGATTTAAACAGCCTCATGTTTGCTGTTTTTTAAATGTTTTTCTGTTCTTTATAAAGTTAAAGTTTACTGTTTAAAATGTTTGAAATCATAAAGTGCACTTAATAAACCCTTTGTTAACCCAATTTGACTTTGTTCTGACTCTTTTTTAATTTGTTGTTGTATTTCCCCCCCATTGAGATTTCAATTGGAGAACCGCGTTTTGCTTAGCGATGTTTCCTATGGCGATTTTCGCTTAAGGACAGCAATTCGTTCCTATTGGAACGGATTATCCGGTTTTCAATGCATTTCAATGGGAAACCGCATATCGCTTAGTGATAAAATCGCTTAGCAGCGATATTTTCAGAACAAATTAACATTGCTAAGCGAGGCACCACTGTATGTGGGATAGGAAGCAACAGTTAGAACTGGATATGGAACAACTGACTGGTTCAAAATTGGGAAAGGAGTACAACAAGGCTGTATATTGTCCCCCTGCTTATTTAACTTATATGCAGAATACATCATGCGAAAGGCTGGACTGGAGGAATCCCAAACCAGAATTCAGATAGCTGGAAGAAGCTATGGTTTTTCCATTAGCAATGTATGGAAGTGAGAGCTGGACCATAAAGAAGGTTGACCGCCAAAGAATTGATGCTTTTGAATTGTGGTGCTGGAGGAGACTCTTGAGAGTCCCCTGGACTCCAAAAAGAACAAACCTATCCATTTTGAAGGAAATCAACCCTGAGTGCTCACTGGAAGGACAGATCCTGAAGCTGAGGCTCCAATACTTTGGCCATCTCATGAGAAGACTCTCTGGAAAAGCCCCTGATGTTAGGAAAGTGTGAGGGTAAGAGGAGAAGGGGACGACAGAGAACGAGATGGCTGGACAGTGTCACTGAAGCTACAAACATGAATTGGACCAAACATCTGGGAGACAGTGAAAGACAAGTGGGCCTGGCGTGCTCTGGTCCGTGGAGTCACGAAGAGTCAGACACGACTTAACGATTAAACAACAAATGCTAATTTCTGTTGCAGCTCAAGACACAAAGTGGTCACATGTTTTAAGCTTTTAGTAGGGCTCCCCAACCTTGGGCCTCCAGATGTTCTTGGACTTCAACTCCCAGAAATCCTGTCCAGCAGAGGTGGTGGTGAAGGCTTCTGGGAATTGTAATTCAAGAACATCTGGAGGCCGAAGGTTAGGGATCACTGTTTTAGTAGACTTTACTCCAGTCCCAATTCTTCTACTTCCTTAGTTCAGCAAAGGTCTTTGTTCCACTGCACTGTTCTTGCTATTCTATAGTTTTCCTTTTAAAACTTTCTCCCTCTTTAATTTTGATTTCTTGGTTCTCATCTCTCCTCAGTAACACCTCTTTCTTTTCCTTGGCCCCTGCTAGGCAAATTTTGGAGTCTTCTATGTCTCAGGATTCCATACATGGGTGGGGAATAAATTTAATAAATAAATAAAATAAATACAAAAGGCTTCTAAACAGTATCACATTCCTTGGTTTTTCAAGACTGTAACCCTCACCATAGAAGGAACCCATGGTTTCTTCACACATGTTTTCACCTTCAGTCCTAGTATCACCTCTCATTCAGATCAATGTTTAATTCTCCAGAGCTCTGTGTGGAGGCTCCACCCCTATGTGCAGAGTTCCAGGCACAAATGGAAGCAAATGGGCAGTTACATTCGTACGGTTGTGTGCACCCAATGGAGCGCAGCTTGGAGAGAATGTTGCTTAAGACCAAGATTTGATTGTACTCCATTGCACAGAATCTGAATGCCATCTCTAGAATAGAGGATAAAATGATTTATACCTTTCTTTCTTCTCATAAGTATTCCATCAGAATTTATGAATTCACCTGGAAGGCTTTCCTCTGTTAGTGCTATAGACATTATGTGGACAGCCCATGCATCTTTTCCATGTGTGCTAGAGTTTCCTCAGGCAGGCATTGATACGGGCCTTCATCCCAAATCATTCAGGAGGCAATTAGCAGCCCTTTCGTCTCCTCACCAGACTTTGTATCCCCTTTTATCTCTTCTCATTTTCTTATTTGATGCTCCATTATGGGAGCCTCAGTCTCCAACACACTTATTTCTCAGGTTCACTTTCTGGAGTGTTTGACACTCCCATTGTACCTCCATTTGAACATTTTTTCCTATATTTCTTAAGCTACTTTAGACTTGGTCTTTTTAGTGACTATCATCAAATAGTTTAGCTGATCACCCTTTCTGTTAATCCAAGTATGCACCTTTTTGACAAAGATACAGCCAACATCAGACTTGATTGCTCATTCCTCCCCTCCCCAAAGGTCTATGCCGTCTAGCAGCTCTTGAGATTCCCTTCTTCTGTCTTCATCAATCACACTGTGGACAAAAAGATTGACTCAGTCCTAGGCCCTGTGCTCTTCAACATTTTAGTTAATGACTTGAACAAGGGATTGCAGGAGATTTGCCGATGACACGAAAGCATGGAATAGCTAATACTTTGGAAGACAGGAACAAAATTCAAAGTGATCTAGATAGGTTTGAGCACTGGCCTGAAAAGAACAGAATGAAATGTAACATGGATAAACACAGAGTTGTACACCTAAAAGGAGGAAAAACAAATGCACAGTTACCAGAATAGGGATACCTGGCACCGTAATATTAAGTGAGCAGGATCTTGGAATTGTTGTAGATAAAAATATCAGCATGAGCCAACAGAGTGGTGTGGCTGGAAAAAAGGAAATACTATTTCAGGATGCAATAACAGAGGTATAGTCTCCATATCCCATGAGTTACTTGTTGTTTAGTCGTTAAGTCATGTCCAACTCTTTTGTGACCCCATGGATCAGAGCACACCAGGCCCTCCTGTCTTCCACTGCCTTCCAGAGTTTGGTCAAATTCATGCTGGTCGCTTCAGTGACACTGTCCAACCCTCTCATCCTCTGTTGTCCCCTTCTGTTGTCTTCACACTTTCCCAACACCAGGGTCTTTTCCAAGGAGTCTTCTCTTCTCATGAGATGGCCAGAGTATTGGAGCCTCAGCTTCAGGATCTGTCCTTCCAGTGAGCACTCAGGGTTGATTTCCTTCAAAATGGATAGGTTTAATCTCCTTGTAGTCCAGGGGACTCTCAAGAATCTCCTCCAGCAATAACAGATGTATGGTCTCCATATCCAATGAGGTACTAGTTCCCCTCTATTCAGCACTGGTTAGTCCTCATCTAGAGTACTGTATCCAGTACTTTTGGCCCATTCTCCCTTGGTAATCAAAGCATCTCTGCTGTAATTTTTGGGTGCACATACACCAAACCAGTGTGCTGTGTACTCCCAGTAATCACAGCAGAGACAGTTTATTTGCCAGAGAGGAATGGACCAAATGTTACAGTTTGGTTTATGCTAAGCAACAGAATTTTGGTCGTTAAATGATATAGGTGTTTGCTTTGGCTCTGCCAGCCTTTCAGCACATGGTTCTTCAGGAGATATTTTCTCCCTAGTGGCAGCACTTACCTCTCCCCCATTAAAGTGTTAAGCTTATGTATATGCTATTCAGGGATCTCTTCTTCCATAGACTAAAAGTGGAACATTGGGAAAGCTTTGCATGAAAATATGTTCTTATCTGCAAAGGAGACATCCTGACCCTCCTATCCCTCTGCTCTCTTTGCTCACACTTGATACTTATTGTATCTTGGTATACTTTCCTTTGATTTGCCTTTCTTCTTTGCTTAACTATGTCAGAACAGGGAGCTTAACCTCAGCATCTACTCCATTAAGAGTTTAATTGAAACATGTGACCCCCTTTCCTGAGAGGCATTAAGAGTCTATTCAGGATTGTCTCCCTCTTCAGAGACATGAATGGGATTTCAAAGTAAGTTTTCCCAATGTTCTTTTCTGTGCCATCCAAATAAACAGTTTTGTTCAAGTGAATATGTCAAACATATCTATGGACACTCCTCACTTGATCTAAAGAAAACAGTCCACGTGTTATATGTACGTACATCTATTGCTGCCTTCCACACAGAGGTTGGCAATATTTGCTCTGTAAAATCTTGCTACACAGGGACCATGTCACCCAATTATTTAAGCTGCCTTGAACACTTTCCTCAAGCTGGATCAATGTTTTAAATAAATAAAATGAGACAGACCTGTAATGTGCTCATTGAACACCCGAAGTGTGTAATGTGAACTGTTTTAAAACATTTTGGTGATCACCAGTAGCAAATACGATATCTCAGTTCTGAAGGGTTCTACATGTGCTCTTGCTGTAATATAGTAAAAGTGTTACTGATCCAGCATTTGTCCCATTAACAGCCACCAGCTCAGCCCACCTAGAAGATTTAGCTTATCTAGATGAACAGCGGCATGCTCCTCTACGAACATCTCTCCGGATGCCTCGACAGAGCATGGCTGGTGCTCGCACACAACAGGACCTTAGAGGTATGGATTATTTGTCTATGAGGTGTGCTGGGTCTCTCCTGTAATGTTTTAAAACCAAAACACAACTTTTAAAAGATGGAAGATAGTTCTTCCTTCTGAAGATGGATACTAGCAGCAACCTTCCTACCATAGGTGCCTGTTACATATTAATCACTATTTATACTCTCTCCATTTTTTTGTTTTGCTTCAGTAGTTTACCAGAGCTGCCCAAAACATTCATAAGTAATAAAATTTATATAGAAGCAGAAATAATTATCTATAATTACAAACTTGCTGATTACTTGCCAGCAAATAAAACTGGCTTATACATACTTGTTGGTTTCTCCAGATAGATAAAAAAAGATGCCTTTGGGGGGGGGGAAAGATTACAGTGGAGTTGAAGGTTCTCCCAACTAAGTAGGCTAGAGCTCTCTTTAGAAGCAGTTAGAAACTGACAATGAAGAAAGCAAATGAAGGGGATTTGCCCCTTCTATTGGAGGAAAAAAGGAACTCTCTTAGATAGTATAGGAAGGGGGAAATAAGTCTTCCCTTGCCAACAGTACTGTTTAGTTGGGACTCACTGCACAGGCAGCGGATCATCCAGTCCTAGCCCTGGCCCTCTCTAGAGTGCTACAATCCAGTCTTGGCAGGCATGGGCTCACAGTGGCTCCTGGAAAGCATGTTTGACAGTTATCAAACGGAGTAAACGTGAGGGTCAAAAATCAGGTGTCCAGAAGTAAGAGTGATCACAGACAATTGTTCAGAAGATGTAAATTGTATGTTGTTGCATTGTCAACGTGTGTTGGGTAATAGCTGAACCCTTATATAATTCCTAAGCCTGATTTGAGCTTCTTAAAGGGACAGCCTTGTGATTTGAAGTCAGATTCTTAATGCCTTTCTCTTAATTCTCCTTAAGCACGTTGTTTACAGAGGTGTGCTGGCTTGGTACCACAATAGGCCTTTGTGGGTTTACGGGCTTACTCCTCAGTGAGATTCTTCCAAAATGCTACAGCTGCCAAGAATAATAAGCTTGAGTGTCTCACGTGCAGTGTTCTTTGATTTAGAATATACTACCTATCTAGGCTCCGTATCAGAATCCAAGTCTAGTGCCTCTCAGGGTGATACTGTTGACCTTTGTGGCTCCCCCTTTCCTCACCCCACACCTCCAAAGAAAGTAGAACACAGTAACAATCATGTTTAAAGATGATACTATACCACAGGGAATGGAAGCTTAAATCATCCTAAAATTATTGCTGTATCACTCAGGTTTGAGGTCACCCTGACCATCCTTCCTTCCATCTGTCTCCCACTTATTGTTTCCAGAGACAAGACAGCTGAGCTCCAGCACCCTTTGTGTTCTTGTGGACTTTTTGTTATGGGAGATCAGTAAGAAGAGAATAAAACACTTGATATGGGAGATTAGAAATAAGAGAATAGATTTAAAGGAAAAGGAAACATTGTATGTTAGCATTTTCTTCTAGACTTTTATTTTTTTAATTTCCAAAATATGTTTGACTTCTTTACTCACATGTTGTAGCTTGTGTTGTCCAGGTGCTGACAGAGGGAGCTAGGTTTGCAGCTTCTCAGATTACAGGATCTTTGATGGCTACATTTCCATTTGGTTGTAGTGCACATTGATTATATTGGCCAAGCTTCTCCTAAAAGCAGTGAGACCTTCCTTTTAGAACTACCTAGAAGTCTTATAACGTGTACATCATTATAGAATTTAGCCACAGATGTTTGCATTGTGGATGTCTCAATTCACCCTGTTTGGGGGATCATATGATTTGGGAGAGAGGAAATGCAGTGTATCCTACAATGAGACGGAAACAAAACAGTTTGAAACAATTAGTACTGTTTCAGGAGATAGAGGCTAACCCTGAGCAGGGAAAGTTCTTCTTTCCTGTATAATTTCCTGTAGCCTGTATAATTAAAAAAAATTGTAAACCGCCCGGAGAGTGCTTGTAGCGCTATGGGGCAGTATATAAGTCCAATAAATAAATAAATAAATAAATAAAATTTCCTAACTTCCTAAAAGCTGGTGACTCTGCCAAAGGCTCAAGAATCCTAAACTAGAACTGAATACCCAATGAGCTACTGCTTGCCATCAACCTTCGTTCCCACAAGCATTCTGAAGTGATGCTTATATGCCCACAATGGCATAATTCTGAGAGTATCTTGGAAAAGGAAGATGTTGGTAGCGATCAGACGTCTGTGCTTGCTACAAATTCTTGAAGCCATCAGCAGAGCTGATAGCTTTTTTAATCTTTAAGTAAAGGAGGAAAGGTGCGTAGACATCTTAGTTGCCATAGTAAAATCCCTCCCACTAAGACCATTTCAGGGTCTAGTAGTTAGCATCAGATCAGTAAAGAATTACTTTAACAACAACCACAATAGTAATTATTGTTTTAGGTATTTATATACTGCCTTGTAGTTTAAAAAGCTTTCCAGAAAAAGAGATAAGTAACATTATAGCCCCTGTCTTCAGGTTTATAATCTAATCTTAAAATGTGACACAAAGTTAGGAAGGAGTGGGGAGTGGGGAGGAGGAAACAAATTTGTAACACTAGTCTTATAAAGGCCATCTAAGTGGAACTATTTCAAGTAGCCTGCTGGAATGGCTGATACTAGGTGACTGTTGAGAAAGAAGCCAAAGAGCATGGTATCTTGGCAGAAGTGGAGTTCCTGTTTCTTTAAGTGGGATCTTAACTGGTTGTCCATTTAACCTGGACCATCAATTATTTGAATTTTGCATTAAGCAGATAAGAAGAGAGATTGAGGAAGATGAAAGAATGTTGAATGTACACAGTGGTGCCCTACATGATGACGATAATCCATTCCGTTCAAATCGCTGTACAGCGAAATCGTCATGTAAAAACAGCTCCCACATTGGAATGTATTGAAAACCGGTTAATGCGTTCCAATGGGGAAATTACCTCATCGTCCAGCGAAGATCCTCCATAGGGCAGCCATTTTGTGACTGCCAATCAGCTGTTTTTAATCGCTGTCTTCCGAAGCAGGGGTCAGGAAAACAGCGGGAGGCCATTTTGTGAAGCCGACGATCAGCTGTAAAGATCGTCGTTTTGCGATTAAACGGTCCGCGAAGCACGGACCAAGTCGTCATGAAGTGGAATTCCCCCATTGAAATGGCTGTTTTGCGAATCGCTATAGCGATCACAAAAAGGCATCGTCCTGCAGTTGTGTTGTTCTGCAGGGTCGTCATCATGCAGAGCACCACTGGTATATGAAAGATGAAAGAATGTTTCGGGTGGATTCTGTGTATTACATTGTTGTATACTGTAGCCTGCTTTATCAGGTGCATCTGATGAAATTGGCTGCAGTCAAAAAAACATGAAAACTACAACTTGTTCCCTTTGAAAATACTGTAAGACTGTTGATGTAGTGGCAATAGACTTAAACAATTCCCCTATGTCACTCTAGATGTTGTTGTAATACATGTACATCATGTGTCCCTGTCCTGTGTGCCTGTCAGTGGAGATGTCAGTATTCTCAAAAGGGCCTTTCCTGAAAATCTGAATATCCAGAAGGGTTCATAACCAGGGGTGGGCAATTAATTTCTATAGGGGGCCACATGAAAAATCTGAACTGTGTTCGGGGGTGGGTAGTAATAGGCCCCCAATTTGTGGGTAGTAATAGGCCCACATTAGGTGAGGCCCTGCGGTGAACGAACTACAAGGCTGACATAGTTAATTCCCTAAACCTTTTAGGGAGTTAACTATGTGAACGTTGTAATTCGTTCACCGCAGGCGGGAGAGAAAAAAAGACCCAACACTGAGCTAGCTAACTCACCTGTCCTCTGTTCCCCCGCGGCCTTCCTCTCCAACTGTTCTATCCCGCGCAGGCAGTGTGATGCGTCATCACGTCGCCTGCGCAATGATCACTTCCAGCCTCTTGAGCCACAGGTTCCACAGCCTGCAGCTCAAGAGTAACAGTCAAAACCCATGAGATCTCAGCGTTGGATCTTGCGAGTTTTGCTTACTGCCGTGCTGGGTGACCAGAGCCGGAGCTCCGGCTCACTCAGCGGTGATGGGCGGGCCAGACAGGAGTGGCAACGGGCAGGCCAGATTGGAGCAACAACCGGCGGGCCAGATAGGAGCAGCTCTCGGGCCATATGTAGCCTGTGGGTCAGATTTTGCCCAGGTCTGTTCATAACAAAACAGATCAATAATAAGACTTAGATAGCTGGCCTTTAAGCTATTTGGGTCTTTGAAGATTAAAACCAACACATTGCACTATACCCATGACAACCAATGCCAGTCTTTCAGTATTGCAGACATGCAGTCTTGCTATAATACATCAGTTAGCAACTTTGAACCCATGCACCCATTTGTATCAATTGAAGACTCAATGTCTCTTGAAGGGTAACCCTTCATAGAGCAATTTGAAAAAGTCAAGACATGATGTACACCACTGTAATCCAATTCACCACCTCACATCCACTTACCTTATTCTTTCTGTTAATTAATTGAATGTTGGTATGACTGTGCACACAGTAACATGTTTTTTTTAAAATGTACAGTGTTTGAACACACAGTATTTTCATGTTTTAATTGGAGGCTAACATTTGTAAACTCAAAGAAGGAATGGAAAACTGTGATAATTTTTTTTATATGCCTGTATATTTCTATAATTTATTGGAAAATGGTTAGAGCGGAAGATGTGGAACAGCTAGTACTGTAAATGAAAAAAACTTAAACATCAGAGAAGTCTGTTTGCCTCTATTCATAGTCATTATTAAAAAAACACAACAATATGGAGTAAGGACCTTTGGGGTCCCAAAAATCATTTTCTTCTCACTTCTTTCTTTCTGAATAGAGCAGCACTATGATCCAGATATGCCTGAGTTAACACAAATTCCTAGCAACAACATAGTTCTTCCAGGACTGGAAGATAGTGCTCTGTATTTCTTTAATCATGACTGACTGTGAACTGTTGAATTGTGTGTATTTTCTGTATTCTTTTGCAGTACGTTTTGCACCTTACCGACCTCCTGATATCTCTCTGAAACCGCTGCTCTTTGAGGTGCCCAGCATCACCACAGAGTCGGTATTTGTTGGCCGGGACTGGGTGTTCCAAGAGATTGATGTACAGTTGCAGAGTGCTGATGCCAGCGTGAACAGAGGTGTGGTGATTGTTGGAAATATTGGCTTTGGGAAGACAGCAATCATCTCCAGATTGGTTGCACTGAGCTGTCATGGAACACGCATGAGGCAGATTGCCTCTGACAGCCCCCATGCATCCCCAAAACGTGAGTGGGAAGATATACTAGTAGATGAGTCTGCATACTTGGTACAGCATGTGAGAAGAATGTCCTTTTTTGTGCATTATACAAGCAGGCTGGAATGTGGTGGTGGGTGCCCTTGTATGGCTTACAACCATACATTTTCTGATCAAGTACCACATGCACTTTGAATAGCTGGAAATTCAAGGGTACTCTTTTCTCTGTATTTATTGCAACTGTAGCTCAAATAAAAGTAATGGCAGCAATCTGCCTAATTATCTATATACTAATTTTATTTTATTTATTTCTCATCCATACAAATCCAGATGGCTAACAACAAACCATAGTTGTGCCAAAAGCACACTTCTAAGTGATGCATTTAGGTACCAAGCTTATATAGGAAGGATGGATGCAACTAGCCGCCTAGAGTGGTCTTATAGGCCAGATGGGCAGGGTATAAATCAAACAAACAAATAAACTAATTCTTTGTGGCCATCCCCAAATAACAGACGTTTGCCTCTGAAATTCTGGCAGAGCTAAGACTTGTTTGTTTGTTTCATTGATTTATATACCACCCATTAAGGGCATCCCTAGACTGGTCAGTTTGCACAAGATAAGTTCCCCCAGTATTCTGGAAAGCTATTTTCAACAGACAGACGTACAGTTTTCTATACTTCAGAGCATTTTGGTGGCCATCACCAAATAACAGACGTTTGCCTCTGAAATTCTGGCAGAGCTAAGACTTGTTTGTTTGTTTCATTGATTTATATACCACCCATTAAGGGCATCCCTAGACTGGTCAGTTTGCACAAGATAAGTTCCCCCAGTATTCTGGAAAGCTATTTTCAACAGACAGACGTACAGTTTTCTATACTTCAGAGCATTTTGAAGGGTTGGGTCATATTTATAAATCTAGAGATTTAAAGATGATGGAAATATTAAAACGAAGAAATGGTCAGTGCTGTGGTGAAAGGCAGTCATTTCATTCTAGCAATTATAGGCTGTCCTGCTTTTATGTTATTGTTATATGTCATCGTTGCCCCTGATTTATGGCAATCCCATGAATGAGTGATTTTCAGAATTTCCTGTCCTCAACAGCCCTGCTCAGCTCTTGCAAACTCAAGCCCATGGCTTCTTTTAGGGGGTAAATTCATCTCGTACTTGGCCTTCCTTTTTTCCTGCTGACTTCAGCCTTTCCCAACATCATTGTCTTTAATATCCATTTGCCCTCTTCCCATATTTTGTATATTTTATTCTAATGTTATATAAGTTCCATTGGTTTATGAAAGAGGAATTAGGTGTGTGTTTACGATGCATAAATATGATTCTCTTACTAACAATCCCTCGCATCTAGGTCTTCACAATTACTTAGAAACAAAATCTATCACTGTAGTTGTACAATTGTAGGCTTCTACAGAATATGTAAAACTCTGGATCTTTTCCTTTGAAACTGGGTTACGCCAAGGAAGCAGAGTATTTATCATACTTCTTTTTTTGGCATTTCACAGTTATCAATCCTTCTGCTACATTCATAATTCTGATTATGGCTATAGAATTAGGTGACGATTGTGTTATGTTGTTCACTCTTCCCTTAAGCGCCAGAGACCTACCATCTAACATCATCGGATACCAGACAATCTCTGATCAGATTCTGTCAAGATTAATACATATTGATGTCCTTTGAAAATTGACCTTGGCTTTCAGGGAAAGGCATGGCTAGAGTTTTATAAGAGATTGAATAATGGCTGGTTCTGCTGTGTACTTCCTTCTGCATTACAGATGTTGATGCAAACAGAGAGCTTCCCCTCACCCAACCACCTTCTGCTCATTCCTCCATCACAAGTGGGAGCTGCCCTGGAACCCCAGAAATGCGCAGACGCCAAGAAGAAGCTATGCGGAGGCTTGCTGCTCAGGTATCTTTGTTTCCTGCTAAATGTTTCTTCTTCATTTTGTTTTTTATATATCTTTTACCAAAACATGAATATGCATGCAGTAAACCAAATGATTTCAAGTGAGGTTTTAGTACACTTCTGACATTTCCACAAATACCAAAAAATTACATATTTAAATGGAAATAGTGGTATCTTCTCCATTTTAAAATTTAAAATGTATTGTTTGCTAGCACAGAGGTTGCAGTAAAGTCAGAAGGATCAACTTTTGGCTTTGTCAGGGCCCGGGTTGTGCACAGTTGTTTTCAACAGCAGTGACAAGGGCACCAGGACCCAACCAACACCACAGCGTGCCAAGCCCAAACTCACACATAGACCAACAAGCCAGGATAGGAGCACAGGACTGGAAACCAGAGCACTGGAACTGGAACTGGGCTGCAAGAATGGGAGCACAGAGCAGGAATGCAGGGTCAGAGTTCAGAGTACAGGAGTTCAGAGCAGGAGTGCCGGGGCTTGGGAGCAGGAAAAGTACAGCCAGACCACCTGTGTTGCTGAAGCAGCTTCTGGGAGGGAGAGCCTTTCCTTAAGTATGCCTTCCCTCGGGACTCCTAAGTGGACCTCATGAGAGTTCTGGTAGCTACTGCCTCGGCAGGACTTGATCCTGCAAATGCTGGCTCTTCCTGGGACCAAGCTGGGCCTGGCTCTGCAGCTGCCAGGGTGATGGTGCAGGAGAAACCCTGCTGCCACCCAGATCCTGACAGGGTTATTTCTTCACCAATATCAAGTGGAAGATTTCCTACAAGGCAAAATTACTTTTTTTTTAAAAAAAAAAAGCCTTTTGTTTGCCAATTTATGATAGTGTTGCTGAGTTTCATGACAGATGTTTGTTTACATGGAAAGAAAAAGAATTAAAAGTACACTGCCAAAGAAAATCCTAAGAGACAAATGGATTTAAAAATAAAATGGAGTTCTTCATGTAATTTTGAATTATCCAATGAAGATGTAACAAGACAGGATTGGAAGAAATCTTTTAATGCTGTTCTGGTATTAACCTTTGCTCCAGTTTGGATCTCATGGAAAGAGGTTCCCAGAAGGTTGCTACCTGTCTGTTTCATCATTGCCTTTATGAGAACCTTGGAGATTCCCCACGTACACTCCAGGAGTTTTGGTTTACTGCAGCTTAATGCCGAAACTGATATTTAATGTACATTTTCCAGAATCCCATGTCTCTTAACACTCAGAAAAATTGGGATGCATCTGTAGAAGTGCTAGACTTATGACATTCTCTGAATTTTTGCTTCCTCTGCTGATAAATCTTTCTTGTATTGCTGCCACTTTCCCAATGTCTGAATCCTGTAGTTATATACAGACATATCTAGACTGAGCACACTTAATAAATTAACTTAATGATATAACTTGGTAGCTGACTTTCATTCAGGACAGATGTTCCGCATAAAATAGTTGATTACCAGCTCTGGAAGAAGCTGCTACCTACACCTTGTTGTGATCTGTACACCAGTTTTTCAAGGACAGGACAGCTTCTTTATGTAGCAGTAAATTTTGAAAGAGCGTATAACCCTCTGCCAGCACATCATAACATGGACCATACCTTTATTGACAGGTGTGATCTGCAGTATTTAAATAAATAAAGCTTGATCCCTTTTCATTATGTGCACTTGTTGAGGTGATAGCTAGAAATGCATTCCTGTAACATTCCTCAGATGCTGTGTATAACACCACCTCCACCTCCACTGCAATGACCAAATCAGAAATAGATCTATCCTGTCTCTGTCACAACCTACATACTTTATTGGTGCAGTGAGGTAGCCTTTTAGACTTACATTATGTTGGCTTTTACAACTCAAAGAGTATCTCTCCTTACTGCATCTCTTGAGCTGCTCGGCCTTGAGTGATTGGCAAGCTTCCCTTCACCACTCAGGATTATTTATTTATTTATTTATTTAATTTAATTTAATTTAATTTAATTTAATTTAATTTAATTTAAT